TAATGTAACAGCTAATTTTAAAACTAAATATAAATTTGGAAAAATATTAGCTAATTTAGCCAAACAAAATAAATTAAATAATTCCCTCGTGCTTGCTATGTTATGATTACCAATTTGTTCAGAATCTTTATCCATACCATCGTAACTATATGCATTTAACTCTAGCGAATCTTCATAATCAACTATTACATTCGTGTTAAGATACTTAGSAAGTACAATACTGTTTTCTATTTCTGTAAAATGTTTACAAAATKCAATATATTYTGTTAATAATGTGTTTTTATCAATTTGTGTGTACATAGTACACAAAGCGTCAAAGGCATCACAAGGTACAATGTGTGGATTATTTTTTACTTCTCGAATACGACTAGATACAATCTACCCTGATTTTCAAATTAAACTTATCCCTCTAATAGATAACGCAGCCATCTCCAAATATCAGACTTTTTTCCTGCTACATACAAAAATCTCTCTACAAACTGAATCCTCTGGATAGCGGACAAAATTTCAGTAACTGAGTGTGTCCGGTGTTAAAATTTTTCACTGTTTATGATTTTTCTGTCATTGCAATATTATTTTATACAGCCATATGAGGCGCTGAATAAATCGTAAAATATTTATTTCTTGTGGATTTGATAACTAAATTTAAATAATTTATAAAATAGTTGGTAGGTATCTACTTATAGATAGGTAGTAAAAAAAAATATTAATTGTACTAGCCGTTCAATACTATAATGAAAACTTCTCTAACGGGAACCTCTGAATAGCGGATACCTCCTAATAGTGAACATAATTTTAATGTCTGAAAGGGTTCGGTATTCAAAGGTTTCACTGTACGAAATCTCTAGGAACTATATAAACTTATTTGTTGCCACAATCTAACTATTATGTTATCATTTATTAACTAGTTATTATTATATTCAAATTTAAAATAATTTTCAGCATTCAAGTATTTAATTAATATAAGTTATATAATTTAAGATCAATTTTGATTATTATGATGCATAATCATTCATTGTGTCAATATTTTATCATGTAATTATTTGTTACATTTCAAAAAATGTTTAGTTTCAAATTGGTATCAGACGACAATCATATGAGATACATCATATTACGTGTAACAAAAAAGATATATGATTTGAGTGGCAATCATGTTTATTTAATAATTTTTGCAACAATTCCAAATATTATAATTTAAAAGTAGGAAAAAAATATTTGAAGAAAGGTCTTCAATATAGATTATAAACAATAAAGTAGTATTAACTACTTTTAAAATTTCTTTCCAAAATGTAATTCTGTATATATACATAAATTATATATCCATCGACTAATAATAATAACATTATGCCTATAATATGATGTTACCTTTCATAATAATGCGTGCTTACATGATATATTTATAGATAAAACAAAAAAACAAATATTGAAAATGTTGGTTTTCCAGGTGGGATTATCTAGAAATACTTACATCCATTAAGAAAGATGACGCCACGCAAGCCTATGCGGCTGGTTTGTTGGAAGGATACGTTACTGCTGACTTGATAAACACTTATTGGCATAATGTTTTTAAAAATTTCTGTGACGGTCTAGCTGATTTGTGTGCAAAACTTGATGAATTCTTGCGAACGAATAAAAATTGGGTCATATCCCAAGTAGTAGAGAAAAATGGAACGGATTCGTATTGGCATCAAGTTTGTACCTTATAATTATAATATTATATTCATTAAAAGACGTTATCAGTTTTTAACGTGGATCACAAGCTTTATATGTCAATATATAGCCACATATGTGTTATGTGTATACTGTATACAATGGGTCTTACGTTTAAAGGTTGATCTCATGTACAAGCAACTCGATGGATTATACGATGGATATAAGCTGAATACAAAAGAAGGAATGCAGTCTTTAACATGGGAAAATTTTTTGTGAGTATATTTATATTAATAAATATTTTGAGATCTTTATAATTTATTATTTACTATGATATTTAATAATTATTTTTAAAAAACAAAATTGTTATGGTTTTGAATAGTTGGATGAACGTTCAAGAAGATTTATTTAATTTATGCGATGCCTTTAATTCATCGCACCCTCATAAAAAACAGTTAGGGGTTGAATCATGTTCAGTTCTTATAAAATTACTACCTGGATCTAAAGAGTTATTCTTATCTCACGTTACTGGGAATCGGTACCTACATTTTATTATATTATATTATTATGTGTATTAGGTAGGTATATGTGGTATTATTTTCCGAGATCTTTGTGATTAAACTAATATAATTATAATATATTGTTCTTAAACGTATATTTTATAGGTACGAAACAATGCTGAGAATACAAAAGCGATATMGTCTTAATTATAAGGAAAGTAAATCTTCGTATCAACTGGTGTTAGGACATGATATAACATTTAGTTCTTATCCTGGATTCCTATATTCGATGGACGATTTTTACTTGATTTCTTCGGGTTTAGCTGTCACTGAAACCTCCATTTCAGTTTACAATCCACAGTTATGGGCCAATGTTCAGCCAGTTGGGCAGGTATTAGAGATAAATACGTAAAGAACCGTTAATGTTTAACTATATTATGTAAATATATATGGTATAGGCGCATAGCTATATAAGTACATTTTCAAAAGTTATATGTCATATGTGCAGACACTTTACAGGAGTAATGAATTACGTTATCGGTAATAGGTAATCGAATTAATAGGTTTAAGAACTAATTTACCTACTTAAACATAAAATTTTTCTAAAAACGTACAAACAAATAAAATAGCAAAAATATTGATTTAATATTTAAACCGATTCGTAACAAATCGTGGTACATAGTATATACATTTTTATACATACTAAGACACTGAACATTTCTATCTATAGTCTATACATATAATTTATTATTTGTGACGCATGTGCAGGTATTATGCATCAGTTTTATATCAAAATTATTGAGAAAAGTACCCAAGGAGTGTATCTTCATATCACACCTAAATCACCTCCCCCATTTTCATTGATTTACAACCAATTTATCTAGTTGTTTAAGAATATGATATTAAATAAACCACGCGTCCAATACTGCAAATAATTTGTTTTAACGATTTGAGCTGTATATTAAATTATATGGTATCATTTTAAATTGTGATAAAATAACTGAGACATTCTTAAACAGTGCCGCAGATGAGTATCGAAAATTAGGCGAAAATACATGCTAAAAAAAATTCGTGTATTAATATACCGTTATAAATGATGATGAAGGTAATGGTTTTCGTTCGGGCGATGGTGGCGAATCGGTTAGCGTCTGATGGATTAGCCTGGACGAAGTTGTTCAAAAAATACAACAGCGGTACGTACAACAATCAGTGGCTGGTGATAAATTACTCGTTGTTTCGGCCAGGCCGCAAAATGCCTAGAAGAGGGTTGCTCTTCATGCTCGAACAAATTCCGGGACTGGTCGAGACGCGTGATGTGACCGAATTGTTTACGAACCAGACGTACTGGGCGAGCTATAACGTGCCATTCTTACCGGCGATATCCGAGGCAAGCGGTCAAGACGATATGGCAAAGCAATATGGAAATTGGTAAGATAAAATATGATTTTATGGCGGCGATTTTTGCTACGATATACTTGGCGAACCTATAATGTATAGGTAAATATAGGTAGTTGGGTCACATTTTAGTAAACATACCGGCGGGTGCAGAAATGCATCATATTTTATGAACATGATTTATATGGTATATGTATATTAGTATATTATATTTCATAAATGTATGTGTAAATATTGTACTGTAGAGATTCAATGCAGATTGATTACTGGATCCATACATTACTAAAAAACTTGGGTAATTTTGAGTCATTTAGAAGTATTTTGGAACCAATAGTTTTCACAATATTTGAAAATAATCATAGGCACAAATAGTGTTTGAAATTTGAGGGAGGGGGGGGTTGTAACTCAGGTTACCAAAAATTACACATGGCGGGCAAGTTCCAATGTATTTTGCTGTAAAATCATACGATATTTTGGGGGCTATAGCAATTCTAGATGAAGCTAGCCCTATCTAATCCCCTCTGTTTGCACCTGTCAATAATTTTATAATTTTTTGTATAACGTGATTAATATAGTGCCTGTAGAAACAAATGTTCATATTTATAATATATAATACCTATTATATACTGCTGCAGTATCACCCGTGTTGCCTATAACACCCGTATATTATATCATATTTTTATGCGTTTTATCTTTTTGCCTTGTATCAAAATAGGTTTTCATACCAAGACACTCCCCGGGCTCGTATATTTGCCAGAGACCATGTCGGTGTGACGGACATGTCAAGCATGATGCGTCTGATGCGTTCCAATGATTTTAGAAACGATCCTGAGTCCAGGTGTGAATCTTGTGATCCTCCGTATTCGGCTGCAAACGCCATTTCATCCAGGTTAAAATCAATTTAACTCTTTAATTTTTAATATTTGGGTGAAATGAATTATTAATACATTTAAAGGAAAATATATTATATAGGGCAGCTCGAGAGATATTCTTAATGTTTTAATTTTTAATTTTTAATTTTTGAAGCATTAAACATTTAAAATTTTAATACTATCCTATCTAATTTTAAAATCAAAATATAAAAAAACCTTCAAAGTGCCCTAGATATTTTTGTCTGCATTTGATAATATGTCCTCAAGTTGGTTATTAATTATTTAATTTTGATATATATATATATATATATATATATATGTCGTAGCCACCTCGTGAAATCGATCATTTCATGAAAAGATGRCCATTTCGTGAAATGGAAACACGTTTTTTAYACTTTGTGAAATTCAAAAATATTTCTCGAAATGGTCACTTTTTCATGAAATGATCACTCAATTTTATCATCGTGTAATTTTTTTCAAAAAGTGGTCGTTAACTTTGTTCACTGAAATACAACATTTAATAACTYATTCTACTTTTCTACCCTTATAGATTTTACCTAAATAATTATGTTTAGTAATAAAGTTTATTTATATCATATTAATTTAATAACCGTATTGTGAACATTTTTTATTAATTAGAGCAGGAAAATTATTTGTGACAACGACTGTTATATTTTAGACTATTACYTTTAAAACGAAACACTTTTATACGAACAACTTAAAATCCCTGACTTCCAGATATTATAGTATTATACAATTAGGACAGTTTCACGCAAGGTTAATTCTTTATGATCATCATTATGATTATGACTTTTATCAAAACCAATAAATATCACTTTAAATAATCTAGTAATTGCAGAATAAAAGTCGTATAGAATAATTTAGATATTATTTAAGTATTTATTGTATTATTTGACGAGGTTAATATGGATAAAATCAAACTTGACGTTTCCGTTAAGTTGTTCGTGTAAAAATGCTTGTGAAACCAAAAGATGTGTTTGTTTTAAAGGTAGTCTATAAAATGTAACAGCCGTAGTCACAATTCATTTGCCTGCTCTAATTAATAAAAAATGTTCACAATACGGTTAATAAATTAATATGATATAGGTAAATAAACTTTATTACTATATATAATTATTTAAGTTAAATTTATAAGGGTAGAATAAGTTGTTAAATGTTGTATTTCAGTTAACAAAGTGAACGACCACTTTGTGAAAAAAATTACACGATGTTCAAATTGAGTGACCATTTCGAGAAATATTTTTGTATTTCACAAAGTGTAAAAAACGTGTTTCCATTTCACGAAATGGTCATCTTTTCATGAAAAGATCAATTTCACGAAGTGGTTACGACATATATAGTACTAGTATAGTATATATAGTATAAACACACTATAGTAGTAAATTATATTATTCCGTGAAAAAATTATTAACTATTATTCATAAACATAAATTATAATATATATTATATACACCTGTTGTACGTAACTGTGATTGTCGTTGGGTTTTGTAGGAATGATTTAAATGACAAGGACGGCGTGTACCCGTTTGAAGCACTTGGCTATTCGAACCAGGGCGCTATAGATGCCAAAGTGACGAGCCATATGACCTTCAAGAAGCTAAAATTTTTGGCGGTCTCTGGACCAACCTGGGGTACCAAAGGACTTCTCGGCGAGTTCTGTTGGAGCAAATCACGCGCGGCCAATGTCAGTCATGTCGGATTACCTGACTGTTGGAGTTTCAAACCTAAGTTGCACCGATGGCAGTGGAAAAACTAGATCTAAAATCATCACCCTCGTCACCTGGGTGATCGCACAAATTAGGTAGTTAGGTTATCGCTATTGAATGATGAAAAACATATTT